TTACCACAGAGGGGCGGGACCCCATATCCTTTGCAGTCTAAGCTTGTACTGCTCAATGAGTCTGTCTAACCCATCTCCCACATAGCTGCTATGGGAGGGGACACCAGAACCCTGAAATATACCACGTTTCCCTAAAAGTAAGACCTACCTGGAAAGCAATCCTAGTCTTAGTGTACTCTTGCTTCACCTGCCATTAGAGTAGCCACTGATTGAGACAATAGTGAGGTACTATAACCTTCTCCATGATACTTGCCATCACCATAGAAATGACCAGCTGGGGCTGGTTCTCCTTCAGTCTTTCCAGTTAAGTCTCACTTTGGGGAAACATGCAAGTTGCTTTGAAGCTGTTAATCAATTACCCCTTCCCCAAATGATATCTCATTCAACTCTTAAATATGGTGGGTACTACACTGGATTTCTTCTCTAAGTCTAGCCTGCAATGCAGAAGGACTCGCTATCAAGGCAAAACCCCACATTGTCTCACGCTTAGTAATAGCTGTCAGCTTTACTTGAGGCTAGTGCTGCCAGCCAGCTCCCTTCTTTGCCCTGGAGCTGCTGGCCTTCCCAGACTTATGCTGTGCCAAGAAGGCTCCTTTCCCAGGAGCAATGGTGAGCTTTCTAGACTGCTTTGTTCCTCCTTGTTCCTTATGCTCCATTTGTCCAGTGTCTATAGATTCTAGTTTTCTTGTCGTCTTCCTTCCAACTCCCAGGGTTTTCTTTTCTTTTCTTTTTTTCTTCATCAAGTTATAATGTCCTAGGTTTTTCAGTCCCAGGTCCCAGCAAGGCCATATTTGCACCCACATTCTACTCCACTATTTTGGTCACCTATCTTGCATTCTGAAGCCAGCTTTATAATGAACAAAGCTGACATTTTATTTTTCTACTTAATTAGACACAAAAGAAATTGAGTTGTGTTATATGCATATACACACTCTCCATGATGAATGCAATCATTACGTGTTGCAAACATGTACTCAAAAAAAAAAAAAAAAAAACAAAAGTTTATCAATTTTTGATACTCAGGGCCCAAGGAGATAGCTCAGTAAAATAAGCACTTGCCTGGCAAATGCAGTGTCCTGAGTTCCATCCCTGGTACCACAAAAAAAAAAAAAAATTGATACTCAGAGATGAAGTGGACAGAATGAAGACCGATTAGGCTCCCCGAGTATGATCCTCAGATTCTAAACCTCACACCATCCAAGCCATTTTTGGTGAATGGATGAATTTATGAACTAGACATTTTTTTTAAATGCCAAGACAACAGTTCTTACTGCAAAGAAAATCATGTGAATTGACATATGTTTATTAGTTTGATTTTGCTATTACCTAATGTATACGTATATTAAAACATCGTGTTATATTCCATACACCTGTATTATTTCTAGAAATTAAAATTAAGTTACCTTTCGAGCTGGGTGTGGCATGCACTGAGAATCCAGCACTCCAGGAGGCCAAGGTAGTAGGACCACAAGATCTGGTTTAGCACAGGCAAATTAGCAAGCTGTGAGATCTTGTTTCAAAAGAAAAAAAATAAAAAAGGTACTGAGAATGTAGCTCAGTGGTAGGGGACTGAGGGTTCAATTCCTAATACCACAAATTTTAAAAATCAGTAGATATGTAAATTAATAAAAATTTTTTGATATGGTCAAGACACATAGAGAACCTATATTTAACACAAGTTCAACATTGAGCATTTTGTTAAAAACACAGATAAAACAAAGTTGTAATATTATTTATATGAATCATAGTAATTTTGGAAAATCTTTACTTTTTCTGGAAGAAAAGAACTATGAGCACATATAGGAAATGTTTACTATATTTTTTTAACATTTTTTTTGTATATTTTTTCTCACAGAGCTTAACCAACAACCTGAATCAGGGCCATGCGTATCTGGAGTCCTTAGCTTCCCATCACTGGGAGTAAAAAGGAGTCTCACAAAAATTGGATAAAGTGTATCTATTTATAATTTGGCCAAATACAGAAGATGAGTAGTCAGGCCTTCCTACCCTCACAGCACAGAAAAGTACTCCGATCTGTAGAAGTAGTAGAAGAAAAGACAGGAAATATGTCTAAGAGGATAATCAGTCTTTGCCTTGCAGAGACTGGGGCAACCAAGGACGTTGTCTCCCTGGTCTCAACTCAGGAAAGGCAGCAGCTTTCATTCTCAACCATGAGAAAGCTGGAGAAACAGCTTAACTTTTGGCAAGGCACCCTACTTCTGATCTGATCCCTACTTTTTTTAATAATAGATGTCAGTACAGAAAACACATGAGCCTTCTGGGAATGTGGCACATGCCTGCCTTCATGTGACATCGCATCAGTTTAGCACATGCTACACTGAACTGAAGCATTCAGGTGAATGTCCCTTACATTTCTTTCTCTGAATGTATTCTTGCCAAATTAAGATAAATTTAAAAAACTTTGACTTAACCTTAAGATTGTAGGCATCATTCTTTCTATTTGCACAAAATAGTTTTTCCAGCCAGACATCATGCTTCAATATATGAAGGATAAATAGGAAAAATTATCTATTTTTATTTGTATCATATCTCATAGATATGAGAAAACTACCTTTTAACTAAATATTCCAAAATAAATACACGAATAATTGTTCCACAAGTATTCAAAATGATGTAAGTATCCAAACATCCTCTGAACACTTAACATTTATGATCACAAACTTTATGAACACAATTGCTAAAAATTCTTGTGATTCTCTGCCAGGGTCCCACAAAGGAAAGCTCCAAAATAGGAGGAAAGTTATTTAACTTTTTCCATCCTTACTTCATTTACCTGAAGGAGAATTCTTCAGAATTTTGAGATTTCAGTAAGACTGTGTAATTCTTTTCTTCTTCCACATAGATTAGAAAATTTTGGACTGAGAGAGTATGCAATAACTAACTCTTCCCTAATCTTTCTGCCCTCTTGACAGGAAATCAATAATTGACATAGAACGGTCACTCAGTATGTGCTGGAATACAAGAAAGCCATGTATAAGTTAAAGATAAAGAAGTTCTATTAAGTAAGGATGCAGGTGTTCTATATCCCTTCCGTTGTTATTGAGGATTCAAGGTATTTAATATGGGATCCACTAATAAGTCTGAAACAGATTCTTCAAGTGAAAAGTAACATTTGCCTTGGCATGCCAGTGTATCCCCTCCTGTCTTTCACAAGGTAGTAGATTTTTCCCCATCTTCTGGAAACTGTACCCTCCACTGCTCTGTACCTCACATCCTGGACTCAGGGACCAGCATGGGACTCAGCCAAGGAAGTCAGATTCACACAGTGAGCTGAGCACACAGAAAGAGGGGCCGCTGCAGCTGGGCCACAGGAGGACAGTGGCAGGAGGCTGTCGCCCCTGGGACTGGAGCTGTTCTAGTCCCCACTTTCCTGGGTCTGGGTTTGTACAGGTCCTCTCAATTAGCCCAGGTACCATTGCATTAAATCAAACCAATTGGCACTGTGCAGTAAAATCATGTATACTTCACTTATAAACACAACATCACAAGAAAAAACAATAAATGTAAAACTTCAATGTATATATGTGTGAGTTAGGTATCAAAGGAATTTTCAAAAATTATTTTTCCAGGAAGCACATTTTACAGAGGAACCTATAACAGTCTTTCCCTCATTTCTAAAGTCCAATTATACCAACTAGATAATTGTACCCTTGCTCCCTAAGATCCCTGACTTGGGGGACCAACACCCAAAGGAAGCCAAGATGATTTAAAACTCCCCTGTTTATGACTTACTGTAGTTTCTGGAGTCACACAGGAAAAACACAGGCCAGGCAACTGGCCCACACTGGGATGTGTGGCACTACCTGAGAGTGAATGAAATCCAGAGCAGATCTACTGGCCTACTGCAGGATGGGGGATTAGATAGGGAGGCACCTTTCTCCTGTGAGGAAGGAAAGGAAAAGAGCAGTCAATAACAGCAGACACTTATGCTCTCTGGTGCCAGGCAAGTGTCAGTGGTTTGTCCTTTATTTGTGTTTAATCTGGTATACTTACTACTACATGTTCACAGTTTGCAATGATTCCTTGCAGCACGAGGAAGTGGTACATATATACAACATATATCAATTATATTTCCTCCCTTCCTCTCTATTTTTTTTTACCAGCATGGGAAACACTGATTATTTTATAAGTCCTTAAAAGCTAATTATCACACATACATATATTTCATTTTTTAACTTCAATGTCACTTTCTCCATCTTTCTTTTTACTATCAACATAAATGGAATCTAAGAGGTGATCTGTAATTTAAGGCTGCACTAGAAAACTTAAAAAGTAGAAAATGATACCAAATTTTTTCAAATACAAGACTCAGAGTTTTGATAAGTCACATACTCCTATGCTGCAAGAAATTACTGTTGCTTATATCATGTTGATGATTTTGAAGCCTGAAGCTAAGGCTGTCACCCACTCATTGTAACATCAGGATCTCCAGAGAAAGAGGGTCCTGCGACTGTAGTTTTCTGTTCATGAAAACCTAAGATCTTTTCATTTATTTGTCATTGTTGATCCTCATATCTGAGGAGATAATGTGAGAACATACCTTGATTTTTCGCTTTCTTTGCCTGCCTAAATGACTATTGGAAATTTAATGGAATTAAATAGACTGTAATAAATGTAACAAGCGTACATGTAGCCTTGTATCTCATGCAGACATTAAGAATGCTTTTGCCTTTAGAATCATAAAAAGAGCACATATTGATGTAGCTTACTGATGCATGCTAGAGAGAGTTTGGGGAAATAAACATGTGAGCCCAGGCCTGAGTTTATCAGTGAGGACTACACACTGTGAAAAAGGGCTTCAGAACATTTCTGGTCTGTGGAGAATCAGGTAGATTGAGACAATTCCTTCAGGAAGCAATACCTAGCAATACCTAGATTTTTCTTCTTTAGTGTTCTGCTGAAGAAAACACAGCTAATTTTTTAGCACATTAAATTTATCCATAACTTTCTTTTTGCAGAACTCCAGAACTAACTCAAATATGAAAAATCACATGACGGTGACTGAATTCATCCTGCTGGGCATCCCTGACACAGAGGGCTTAGCGACGGTGCTCTTCTTCCTGTTCTCATCATTGTATTTATGCACCCTCCTTGGAAATGTGCTCATTCTCACTGCCATCTGTGCCTCTTCTCAGCTTCACACACCTATGTACTTTTTTTTGGGAAACCTCTCCATATTTGACATGGGTTTCTCTTCAACTACTGTGCCCAAGATGTTGTCGTATCTTGCAGGGTACAGCCAAGTCATCTCTTTTCAGGGATGTGCTGCTCAGCTCTTCTTCTACCATTTCCTGGGCTGCACTGAAACTTTCCTGTACACAGTGATGGCCTACGACCGTTTTGTCGCCATATGCTACCCACTGAGATACACGGTCATCATGAACCACAGGGTGTGCTTTGTCTTGGCCACAGGAACCTGGATGAGTGGCTGTGTCCATGCCATTGTCCTAAGCTCCCTCACCTTCAGACTGCCCTACTGTGGCTCCAACCAGGTGGGCTACTACTTCTGTGACATACCTGCAGTGTTGCCTCTGGCCTGTGAGGACACCTCTCTAACTCAAAGGGTAAGCTTTACAAATGTTGGTCTTGTGTCTCTCACTTGCCTATTTCTCATCCTTATGTCCTACACTCGCATTGGAATCTCCATAATGAAAATCCGCTCCACAGAGGGCAGGCAACGGGCATTCTCCACCTGCAGTGCCCACCTCACCGCCATCCTTTGTGCCTACGGGCCAGTCATCATCATCTATCTGCAGCCCAACCCCAGTCCCTTGCTTGGTGCTATAATTCAGATGTTGAATAATCTTGTGACTCCCATGCTGAACCCACTCATCTACAGCCTGAGGAATAAGGACGTGAAATCAGCTCTGAGGAACTTGTTTCACAAGAGAAGCCTTACTTTAGGTAATAAGTGAAAATTCCTAAAACTTTGGTGGACCATTTGGGTTCTTCATTTTTGGACAAGTTTTCATCTTCAGCTTCAGAATCAATCTGTGTCTTAATGTCTGTGTTTCAAAATATGCACCTGTTTTACTGTTTCACTATGCAACTGATAACGTTGTTTGCAGACAGTGTACTGAATCTAATGCTGGGTGGATTATGTTTCATGTCCACTGTCTTCCAAAATAATTCTTAATCATTTAACTTTTAAAGGAGTTAAGAGAAGCCCTCTATTGTCTCTTGGATTAAATGAATTATGTGTGTGTATATATGTGTATGTGGGCGTGTACATATGGGTTGGAGAATGAAATTAAAACTTCAAGAAACAGAAACTTCATAGCTTATATGAGAATTGAGCATCTTTTCTTTTATTTGGTTGTAACAATCAGCTCCAACACTGATTCGGTAACAGTCAGCTTCAACACTCAAATTAAATGTTTCAAGTAAACTCTTATAAATACACAGTCTGTATGACTTTAAGAATTCTTATGTACAAGGCTGGCAAGGTAGCTCAGTGGTCTAAAGCACCCGCTTAGGCAAGCGTAGGCAGGCACGGAGGATGGCCGTTCTATTCCGGGCACCGCATGCCACACCGCCCCACCCTCAGGGTGAGCTGAGCCGGTCCAAAAAATAAAATAATTCTTATGTACAGATTTTCTACAATCTAAATATTGTCATTGTTACAACCTTAATTATCTACGAGCCTAGATCATTTCTCATTAGATGACAAGAAAATTTGCGTAAGCTGTATAATATTTGCCAAAAAACAATTAAATTTAATTTCTTTTTGTCATGTGCCATCCAAAATAAAAGGAAGATTAATTTATTTGCATTTACACACAAATTCCTTGTTAGAATTTTGGTAAAATAGAATAGTAATAATAAACTTTTCTTTCCATAAGATTAGAATGTCATCTTGCTTCTTTAATTCTTTATGTTCTATAATTCTGATGAAGAATTTATAAGTTTTATTTTCAAAAACTATGCTGAAGATTATAAAGAAGCCAGTCTCCTTCCTTTTCTGATTCTATTTTCTCTTTCTTTGTCATCTGTTACCCATTAGTTGTTTATGGCTTTTCTTGTAAACTCCATTAAGTCCCCTTAGAAAAGTGTCAGAGACTACTGAAGAAGGAAGAGGAAGAGGAGAAAGAGACTGAAAAAAGAAAGAAAGAAGTAACAAAAGAAGCAAGGGAAGGGCAGAGGGAGATTCATATATTTTAGAGTAAAAGAATAGCATTTTATAATGGAATGATTATTGATTGTTGCCTCTCTTTGCTTCCAGTTTCCGTCTATCATCACAGGTGATTGATAATCATTTCTCCAAGTATTAACGATAAAACGTTGAATTCCAGAGCACAGTATTAGAAAATACAAAGAGGGTACCAGTGATGTGAGGACATGCCAGTAACTAAGGCTCTGTGATGAGCAATGGGACTCTCTCATGTGAGATATTGTGCACATACTGCATAAATCAGATAGTTACTCTCGCCAGAAATCAAAACGATACTAATGCACCTTCAAGAAACCTTAATGTCACCAAACACAACTTTTATATAAGTAGCAACCAGAGTAGAATATTAAACATGAGCCCAGCTATTTTCCTCCTGGGTATTTTTCCAAAAGTCCTGAAAATGTCATTCCACCGTGATGCGTGTGTGCCCATGTTTATAGCAGTGCAATTTGTCACAGCTTCATCTTGGAAATAACCCAAATGCCCACCAATGGAGAAATGGATTTTTTTTTTAAATGTGGTATTTTTACACACTGAGGTATTACTCAGGTATAAAAAGGATAAATTTGAGGCATTTATAGGTAAATGGATGCAACTAGAGATGGGACTCATAAGTAAAATAAAGCAGATCTGCATGCACAAGCATCATATTGAAGTAAGAGCCTGAAAAAATACATAAAATCTAAAGGGTATAATAGTGTGAAGGGAAAAGAATCCATCTGATAGGAAGGAAAAACTGGGATGAGAAGAAGGACAAAAGAAAAGAAACAGGAAGGGAAAAAGATATATTTATGTATACTTATAGGATAGTTTGGATAATTGCACTGCTGATTTCTGCTGGTCTATTGAAAGAAGCATTTAATGCTTATTTTCTTTCCTTCTTGTTTTCAATTTCTTATAACATTTTTTTAAACAATTTTGCATGCTTGGGTCAGGGAGATGGCTCAGTAGAATAAGCGCTTCCCTAGCAAGTGCAAGGGCCTGAGTTCAATCCCTGGTGCTGGAAAAAAAAAAAAAAAAAAACCTTTACACGCTTATGTCTGGTAATCTAAACAACTAATTTGAAGATAATATTATGCAATATAACCACTATTGTTGAATTCCTATTATTTTGTTTAGGGAAATTGTGTATCATTACTAATTTTTGTTTTAACTATTTTTTATTCACTTTAAAAATAAAAAAGAATGATGGGCCAGCCAAATAGCTCAGCAGATTAAAGTGCTGGCAATCAGGCACAGGGTACAGGGATCCGATCCCTGGGCCTGCTTTGCCGGCCCTGCCCCCAGGGCACACTGAGATGGCAATTGAGACTGGGTATGGTTGCGCATGCCTGTAATCCAAGCTCTTAGGAGGCTGTAAACAGGTGGATCACCACGAGTCTGATCTAATCGTGAGACCCTGAACACCCTGTAAATCCCTAAAATATGAATAAATAAATAAATAAATAAATAAAATGTAAATAACGTCTCATTTATTCTTATCTGTTTAAGAAAAATAACAAAAACATCAATATTATTGTAGTATGGTTGCTATTTAATTATTATGTTATTCATGAAAAAAAACAAGTCTTTACTGTCCTGAGCACTCCTGCTTTCCTTCCTACACTTCCCACTGTGGAAGAGAGATGTTAAAATGAGCACAAGTCCCACAGCTGCTGCTCTTATATCCTTTAAACACACACCAGTGCATCTTTGTTTTAATCATTTACCTTTTTTTACTATAAACAGAAGATAATACTAAAATTCAGTAAAATATTTGTAAAGTAGTTTCAATGGCTTAGAAAATCTCTTTGAATCTTTAAGTGTTTTATTCTGGCGAACTTTAAAATCTAATTCCCTACCCTGTTTTTATCTTTTCTCTCAATAGCTTCATTTTTATGGAAAGGTAAGGCTTACAGACTAAGAACCTGAACGATTAAATTTCTTTAGCTAATAGCAGAACAAAAATAGAATCTGCAAAATAGAATGCATAAGCAGTGAGGTAGTTACTCTTACTAGAATAGGTTTTACATTGGCAATTTTTCTCTGAAAATTAAAATACTTAGAAAACTACAAATACTAAGAAAATTATGGATGATCTTGGTGCTACATTACTTGGTTAACCTCTACACAAGCTACCATTGCCATAAAAATACTTTAATAAACCTTCCTATTTTGAGTAAACAAGAAACTCCATGTATCCTAACATAAAACAAGTTAAGCAATTTTAAATGTAAAAATGCCTAACACAGAAGAAAGAATATCTAGATTTTCTGATTTGAAGAAACACTTCCAGAAAGTTCACCATATTGACCTGTAGAAATTAATGCTCATGAGAGTTGCTGAGATGATCAAGTTTAAGGTGATCCTAGGAAATTTAGTTAAATCACATATCAAAAGGGAATAAAAATGGCTAGAATGTAGCTCAGTGGTAGAACACTTGCCTGCTATGCATGGGCCCTAGATTCAATTCCTACTACCACAAGAAAGAGATTTTAGATATAATTCAGAATTATGGAAGAATTGAAAATGTTATACTACAAACATTTTCTCAAATTCCCAAAATATTATCACTATATTAGCTTTATCCTTCCCTACTATTTCCTATACTTTTGTAAGTGTGTATATATTTATTTCTGTACTGGAATAAATTGTAAGTGTGAGTTGCCAACCTATATTCCTTTGCTTGACATATTTTACTTAAAATGTGCTTCTCAAATGCATATTTATAATATAGTCATACAATCAGAAAATGAACATTAACCATCTAACCTACATTCTCTAGATTTTTACAAAGTATTCCAGCAATTTCCTTCACAGAAAAAAAGATTTGAGATTATATATTTCAAAAGCCATTTCTCTCTGATTACCAGAGTCATGCTCCATATTTAAGATATTAATATTTTTTGAAGATTTTAGGTATGATATTGTACAAAACATCCACCACTTTAAATTTTTCTGGTATTTCCTTCTGATTAGATTCAAGTTATATATTCTTGTTTAAATTCAGACAAGACACTCTGTTCCACCTATCTGTCATATCAAGAGTTTCTTCCCGTGAATTTACGTATTAATACTGAGTTCAGTTTTGATCATTTGACTAAAGAGTATCTGCTAGATTACTCAGATGCAAGGTATTTTACTTTCCTAGTCAATAATGATCTAGTTTTAAGGGGGAAAGCAGTTTATAATCATTTTCTATCTTGTTGCTCTTCAAATTTTTACCAGGTAGTTTCAATATTTATAGATGATCTTTGCATGAGTCAATTATACCTGCTCTTCAATTTATAGTGACAATAGTAAATTGAAAATATCATAAAGTCAAAAGTACCCCATTTTAACTTGCCAAACATCATAGCTTGAGTTGAACTGTGTTAAGCATACCCAGAATATAGTAGCTTACAATTGGAAAAAATCGTCTGATATAAATTCCATTTTACAGTGAAGAGCTGAGTATCTGATTAACTTGTTTCACATTTTGCAATGTGAAAACAGAAAAAAAAATATTCAGAACCATTGACAAGACAGTGTACGTTAGAATATCGATTATTTACACTCAGAACTGCATACCTACACTCAGCAGCTTGCTGTTGCTGCCCTATATCCTGAAAGTATCATATTTCAGATACTACCTTTGGGACAGGTCAAAGTTCAAACTTTGAAGCATTTTGAACATGTATTGTTTTTAAACCATCATAAAAATCAAAAAGTGTAAGTCTAACTATTGTAAGCTGGGAACCACTTGTGTTATTATAATGGTATCCA